ATTTTGCTATTTTTTTATAAATTAAAACAAGGGAAAAGTGGATATTTAAGAGTTAGCCCTTTGCATTTCAATTTTAGCCCGAAATTAACCTCAATCTTAAGCCCAAATCAAACCCAAAATTCCCTACCCAATTTCTGAATTAACCCGACCCATGGTCCGTTTATTTTTACCCGCCCGGCTCCCTTTTGATCCAGGCCGTTGATCAAAATGATCAACGGCCACATTTCCTCCTTACCATTTTAATTCCCAAACGACCCTAACCCTATCCCCATCCTCCAAATCCACAGCCTCTGGTTCCTCTCATCTCTCTCGAACCCTCTCAACCTCTGAAACCCTAATATCCACCTACCTCCAGAATCCATGGCTAATCTAGCCATGGACAACCTCTACTCACCATCTCCTGCTCTCACACGCTTGCTCATTGAAGATTCGAGGCTAGACCTCGAAGGTCTTCATCCAGACCCTGGCCGGTTCGAGTTTCTTTGGCCGTTTCCGGCTTTGCTCTGGCGTATCTCAGCCTCTCGAGCCTGGATTCGACCTTGCTAGCTCAGAACCATTCTCGAGACTTCCAAGCCTTCTCGTCCTTTTGGGTTCTTAGAAACCCTAGCCTAATCGAGGTTCCTTTTTCGCTTATTCGTCTAGATCTATGCTAGATCTATGCTGTCTGTGCTATTTTAGAGTTTTTCCCTAATTTTCCCTTTTCAAAACTGTTCGAATCCTATTTTTAGGGTTTTCTAAATGTTTCTGATTCTTTTACTCTTTTTATGTGTGTTCATGCTCGTTGTTTTATTCCTTGTTATGTTCAAGCCTACTCTTGTTTTTCTTACTGGATCTTTTACGGAGATTCTTTTACCTCTTTTGTTCACATGTTAGCCTAGGTTATTGACTCGCTTTTGCTTATGTGTTTAAGCTGATGCTTTGATTTTGTTTCTGAGTTCTGTTGATCATGCTCTTGCCTACCTTCGTCTTAAAACTCGTAATTTCCTCTTACTTCTGTTTGTGCATATCTGCCTATCTCTGTGACTTTGAACGATTCCCTCACCTCCGACTCCATGTGAAACCCTAAGATTTGGGGGGTTTTCTTTTCTTTGAAGTGAAAGACACTAGGGTTTCACTCTGAAACCTTAGGTTTACAGACTCATGACGAGTCTGTAATCAAACTTGTGAACTTATTTGCCTATGATTATGGAAAAAACTCTCATTGTTCTTCTTTGTTTTGAACTGCATGCGTATATATAAGCTTCCCTTTCAAAGTTTTATTTTCAAAATTCCTTTAATCAGGCTAAGAAATTCGTCACTAATTTCTCTTGATTGAACATCTTTTACCTTACTGATGTTTTCCTTAAATAATTGATCCTGTATCTTCTGTGATTTTGTACCAACGTTTGAATTTACTTCCTTAATTATCTCAGTCTCTTTGTGATTTACAACTGGAGCCGAGATCCTTTGACTGATTTTTAAACTTATACATTATTCTTACTATTGTGCCCTCTTTCCTTAAATATCCAATTGTGTATGTGACCTTATTTGTGCACCATATGGTCTCTTTACCTTAATTTAGCCTTAATAAACTGATTCTCTCTTCCTTCTTAATCGTCTGAACTAGACCCTTAATTAAAGGAGTTTGTCTAACCTAATTGATACTAATTTGATTAGTTTCTATGTTTATACCTTTGTGCCTGCCTCACCTATTTTCAAAACTATATAAAGGGCTTAGCCCTCCCCTTTTCAAAAGGGCAGTAACAACGAGTAAGTAACAATCAAGCAATAATAGGCAATCTGCTTTCTACTCCCTTCTTCTCTCAAATACACAGACCAATTCTGTGTACTTCTCCTCTTTGCTTTCTGAAATACCCTTTAAGCTCTCCTTGAAGCTTCAAGTGTTCTGCTGAAAACCTGAGTTGTTTCTGCTGCTTGCTTGATGTGGTTACTCTGCAATTCTCTTACTTTGCAACTGGTATGTCCATCTTAGTTTAAATACTGCTCCTCCACTATGTGTTTCACATCCTAGTTCTGTTATGCTTTCCTTTACTGTTTTTCTGCAACTTTGTCATTATTGTTCCTATGTGAATCCCCTTACCCTTTACCCTTTGTATGTGAGTTATGGTTCAAGGCATAACAGCACTCCAATTTGCTGTCTATGATCCTGAACTGGATTCTTTGAATCCCAAACTCAATCAATGCCCATTCCCTTTTCCCCTTTTATGTGTCTGAGCCCTGGACTGGGGTCTGATAGTGGCCTAATCACTATCTAGACTTTGGTCTGACCTTCAAAAGGTCTGCTCCTAACTTGTTCAACCAAACAAGTGGTCAGGGGTGTGCCAGCCTACTTTGTAGCTAGGTATGACCACTACCTGTCATGGCTCCCCAATTCCCCTTTCACTTTGCACTTACTCTTAGCTATAAGTTCTGCCCCTCTCTTGCAAGCCATGCTTTGGGACCCCTGAGCTCCCTCTGAACTTGGATGCATGAGAGCTGGCTCTTCCACACTGCACTATTCTAATTCTGATAGTATCCTGGGTGTAAGCAATGCCTGGAATCCCTGAGATTCCTTGGAACTTTGAAACACCTTGGATAAAGAGAAGGCTTTGGAAATCTGGATCCCGGAAGTTGCTCAATCGCATGTTATTAGACATTAAGGATGAATTAGGCTACTCGGATCTAGCTGTTAGCTTTTGATGTATCTTTTAATTTCCAGTTTGATTCATGGGATTGTAATAATTTTGTATGAAACTCGGGGAGTATAGTAAAAGGGTGTGGGAGGGATCTTTACTTTTCTTGCATCCAAGGGGTAGAAATCATGAGTTAGGATTTTTATTCAAACTAGAAATCCTGCCTATAGGGTCTTTAATACTGATTCAATCACATAGAGACCATGCCTATAGGATTTAACGCTTAACTTTACCGCAAAATCACCTAGAAAGCATGTCTATAGGATTTAACATTCATGTTCTGTAATGACACATATAGAGATCATGTCTATAGGCTCTTGCATTTCTGCATATACAAATGTCATTAGGCAAACCGTTTATAGGCTCAATAACAAAGTTGCATATAGACATCATGTGTATAAGACTCCTATTAATGTCATGAAAGGGTGTTAAAATCGGTAACGTATAGAAAGCATGCCTATAGGAAACCTCGTCTTTAATAGCATCATTCGTTCTTAAGCAGTATTGATTGCTGGAACTAGTGTCTTTACTAAAATTGGTAATTTTCTACTTTTGAAACCCGCTAAAATTGGTAAACCTTGTTCCTATAACCAATCTGCACTCCCCCGAAACTCGTAAACCTTTTAATCAGTCTACATCTTTTTCTGAAACAACTGGTAACTCTTTTCTAAAATCGGTTTACATCTTTTCTCTTTGTTTAAACTAATAATTCTTTTTCTAAAATCAACTTGCATCTTTTCTGAAACTACTGGTAACTCTTGGCATCTTTTTCCTGAAATTAATAGATCCTACGCCTAGGTTTTTATTTGAACTCATAAACAAAGGTTGGCTAATTAATGAATTGGGTCAGTCCCTGACAACTGTATCCGAGTTGCCTAATGCAGACTTTCTATTTAAATACATGTGTTGAACCAGTCCGCTCGCTGCTTAATTTAATCTAAGACCAAATCAGTATTTGTCAAGGCATGCTAAACTAAATGATTGTTTGACTTCTGGGGTTAATTTGAGCCTTGTATGCTTGCTTGTCCTCCCCTTTTACTTGATACTTGTTTTGAATGTCGAGCTAGAATTTTATCCTTTAAACTCCACAAAGGCCCCCATCCCTTTCTTTCCCTTTAGGATTAGAAGTCCTAATACCCCGGGACTAATAGGATTGGGATGGGTAGTAGCATGCGATAAGTAAACGATACCGTTCCGCGCTTTAATACCTTAACGAGGTGGGAAGGGTAGACATGAAGATGATGATTACACGATAACACTCCGCGTACAACTGAGTACCAGTGTTGTGCGAATAATCCGTGTAATGTATAAACCTAGGACCCCTTTCTCCTTCTTTATTAGTTTAACAAAATTTTCTGAATCTTTAAAGCTATTGCATTTTCAATTTCTGCTTCTCGCATGATCTTTCGGATTATTTGAACTTAGTACTTGACCTTTTCCTTTACTTGCACGTTTTTACAAAAATTGCTCCCTTAAAATTCAGCACTTCTTTTAACCTTTTGTGCTTCTTGTACTTGTTTGTTTATATTTACATCTAAAGTCACAATTGTAGCATGGCCGGGAACCACACTAGTGGTTCTTGAGGGGTGCCTAACACCTTTCCCTCGAAATAATTTCAAGCCCTTACCCAAAACTCTGGTCTGCATCTTTAATTCTTCTAAAAGTGTCCTAATGCACTATAATCATTAGGTGGCGACTCTCCAAACTCTCAAAAAACCCAATTCCCAAAGATGTCGTGAACCCGATTCCGCGAGGAAAAAGGGGGCGTCGACACCTAGCAGAAAAGTAAAACACTTTAATAACCACAAGAAATTCGCAGCTAAACAAGTCTAACGCATATACTTGAAAGGGAAAAGTATCTAGAAAATCCAAAGGTAAGCTGTCCAGATAAAGTCAAGTTTGGTATCTGTTGAATTTTGACTGTAGCCAACATGAGGAGATTTTCAGATTCATGTTTATCTATAATATATTACAAACACTTTAGTTATTAAAAGGTAGAACAAGCAAGACTACAGTGGACGCTACAATTACAGTAGTACCTCACATGTAATATTCTGAAAGAAAATGTAACAGAAAGCACAACACCTATTATCCAGAAGAAACAGAATAATAAGGAACAAAGTACTTAATTAGAGTACAAATAGAATTAGCTCTTGTAAACATCCACTGACATTGCAATTACAGTAACCTGTTGCATGCTTGCTTGTGTAAATAAGTTGTATGTGTGGAACAACTGCCCAATATTTAGCACTCAGAATGTTAAAATCTCACATTCACTTAGTCTGCATGAACAAGACTCTGAGTTTGGAAAACAAATCAAAATCATACCTTTTTGCCTTTGGCACCTGAAATGGGTGCAAGTGTAGGTTCTGGAATGAAATGTGAAACAAGAGCAAAAAAATAACCCCTGCAAAAAACTAACAGACCAAAAGATTACATTTAGAGCCAAGAACTGCATGTTTCTTCTTTCGGTCGAAACAGATGAATAAAGTTCAGAATAAAGTTAGGAGATAGCTCACCCCAGAGGTTTCCCTTCAAAAAACCAATGGAGTTTATAGCATTATGAGCCAAGTCAAAGAACGATATGCTGAGCATAAGACCAGCAGCAAATCCCTGCAAAATGGGAGAAAATATCCAGGCTTCTACTCGGGAGATAGATTATGATTTTAACCTGGTGGGGACCTAATGACAAAGTTTTCTTTTTTATAGAGAGAATAGGGGGCCTCAAGAGCAGAACATATAGTCAGAGTGGAAAAGAGAGAGATTTCAAAAGAATATATATTAGTAAATTTTTTATTTGACTGAGAAACTTAAGTATCTGTACTTATAAATGGCATCAAGATGCAGAAAATATCAGCAATCACAATAAAGAACACAAATAAAAATATTGCAGTAAAAGTCATGTGTTATACTCAACACCTTGTTATCATTCAATGTCATTATTTTCACTATAATTTATCTCAAATTTCAATCACTTTGTTCATCTTCATCAGATTCTTCCATCTCTTCATCACTTTCAATATCATCAATATCATGCGCTCTTTCGATTTCAGCAGTCTCTTTTTCAAAGTCATGTACTTCCAGCTCACCATTTTCATGAAGTAAACAGTCAAGATCATCAGTGACATTTGGAAGTACCGCGGGTAAATCCTCATCTTCTTGGTACGGGATATTTGGAGAATCAATACGGCTTCTAGCTTTTATTTTGCACACTGCTCACCACTCAGCCCTATCTTTTTTTTTACTGGGATATTCTGCAAAATATACTTGTTGTGCTTGTTCAGCCAACACAAAACGTTCATAGGCATAGCTCGAGAAACTTTTCTTATGGTTGATATCGATTAGACCATATTGATTATGGACCTTCAGCCCTCGGCCCATTGTTGGATCAAACCAATCACATTTGAACAATACGAGAGTAGTTCTTTTCTTTGTCGAATTAGAATACTCTAGTTGTATCACCTCAATGAGCAATCCATAGTAGTCACTTTCATAGTCACTCCAACTTGTTCCTTTGATGCACACACCACTATTCATAGTTGTTTTGTTAGAGCCGTATGTAAGAGTGTCGAACTTATAGCCATTCGTAAAATACTGAGGCCGTGTTTGCACCCACCTATAAGGACCAGAAGCTAAGTCTTTCAATCGCTCATCAGTTATGTTATTAGCTGCATTAAGAACCTATTAATAAAACAATAAATCAATAGTATGTTTTATTAAATATAAATTTTAAGCCAAGACAAATAAAGACTACGAATTCTTTTATTTAATTGTAATTTACTCACATATGATTCAAACCACTTGGCAAATTTACTATTTGTCTCTTTCTCAATTTGCTCGAGGCTAATATTTTCCGAATCCCTTCTTAATTCAGCTTCAAAAATACTACAAGAGTAATAAAATTTTAGTTATGCTAGCCCTTAATATATATATATATATATATATATATATATATATATATATATATATATATATATATATATATATATTATGCACTAAATAGGTAAAAAAAATTAACTTACTGGACGAATTGTTGAACCTCCTCACAATTTAATAGAACTTATAAACGTGCCGCATCCCACTCATCATCAGTCAGATACCGACCATCTCTCCCCCCACTTGCACGTCCTGGATGCAAAAAGATGGACAAACAACCATCAGGTGCATCAACTTCATCTCCATCATCATTTCGAGTAACTTTGTTTAGCCTAGTTTGCACGTTAGGCTGGAAATAATAGGAACTGAACGTTGAATTTTCTTGAATGATATAAGCTTCACATATTGATCCCTCGACACGAGCTCTATTTTCTGCCTTCTTTTTGTAATTGTGTAGCTCCCTATAATTAAAATATAGTTTAGTGTATTTTTAAGTAAATAAATTAATTATCTAATCAAAGATTAAGTTTAGACTTTTACCGCTCAAAAGGATACATCCACCGAAACTGAACTGGACCACCAACTATTGCTTCATATGCTAAATGAATCGGCAGATGTTCCATGGGATCAAAGAAACCAGGAGGAAATATTTTCTCTATCTTGCAAATTGTAATCTTTATGCTTTCTTCAAGTTTTTGTAGATCTTCTACTTTTAAAACAGTTGCACATAAACCTTTATAAAATAAGCTGATCCCTGTTAATGCATTCCAAATTGGCCCTGCAAAAAATCTCGAAATGCAATTGGTAGCAACCTTTCTAGAAATACATGACAATCATGGCTCTTCATCCTTGATAATTAATAATCTTCCATGTCTACACATCTAGACAAATTGGAGGCATAACCATCTGCAAACCTCAAACTTTTCACCCATTCACATATTAACTTCCTTTATTCTTTTGTTAGTGAGTATGCTGCCTTTGGCTTCAAATGTTTCCCTTGATGCTCCTTCAATTCAAGCTCTGGACGATTGCAATAAGTATGCACATCCATTCTAGCTTTTAAATTGTCCTTCGTTTTATCTTTTACATCCATTACTATGTTAAATATATTATCAAACACGTTTTTCTCGATATGCATCACATCGAGATTATGCCGAAGAATATTAGTGTGCCAATATGGTAATTCCCAGAAAATACTTTGTTTTGTCCAATTATGTTGATCCCCAAATCCTGGCAACTTATTCGAGGTGCAATTATCGAAAATCTTTGGCAAGTCACGCACGTTGTTCCAAACTTCTTCACTAGACAACCTAGGAGGAGGTGCAGAGTGCTCAACTCTACCTTTTAAAAATGATTTTTTATCCCTACGAAATGAATGACCTACTGGCAAAAATTTAAGATGACAATCAAAGAATGAAGCCTTTCTTCCATCTTTTAAATGAAATGCCTTACTTTTCCCCATACAACAAGGGCATGCCAAATGACCGTGGGTGCTCCAGCCAAACAATATTCCATAAGCTGGAAAGTCATTGATAGTCCACATAAGTGCAGCTCGCATTTGAAAATTTTGTTTCTTATAAGAGGCATAAGTCCAGCCCCGTCAACCCATAATTGCTTCAATTCATCAATGAGAGGTTGTAAATATAAGTCTATATAAGAACATATACGGGCTACTCATGCACATTCCGGGTGGAAGATTGTATGGTGTGATGATTACTGGCCAACAAGAATAAGGATGGGACATCTGCCCATATGGACTAAACCCATCAGCTGCAAGTCCAAGCCTAATATTTCGAGGCTCAACTGCAAATTTAGGATGGCATTGATCAAACTTTTTCCATGCCTCTCCATCACTTGGATGACTCATTACCCCAGGTTCTCGGCGAGATTTCTGGTGCCATATCATATGTTCAGCAGTCTTTGTTGACATATATAACCTTTGTAATTTCGGAGTTATAGGAAAGTAGCGTAGTACTTTATATGGAACATCCTTTTGCCTTCCACTGCCTCCTCTCTTAGGCTTATAACGAGGTTGACCATACTTTGGACAATTTATTTTGTCTTTGTTATCTTTGTAGTATGTCACAATATAAAATCCACTAAGGGTCGTGGTGGCGCCGGACACCTCTGTCAGGCCAGCCAACTATATTATCAATTAATTCTTCTTTTAATACCTTTGAAAATCTAAGGTTTTTCCTTCCATTGTCATAATTAAAAATTCACTACTTGAATTCAAATTTAAATAATAACAATTAGTACAAATCCGTTGAAACCCATCCCAGAAACCCGGTGTCACAAGTACATGAGCAACTACCGATAAGGAAAGTAAAATACAACATCTGTCCGAGATATAGTGGACAGGAAATAAATGATAAAATGCTGAAAGGAACTACACTGGTTGTGGGTCGTCTCGAACAATGCAGCTCACCTAGTCCCAAAGTTATCCATGCTGCTACGCTCAGCAGGCTGCTAGAGGTGTGTATACCTGTGCAACAAAAATGCACAGAAGTGTAGTATGAGTACGTAATCAACGTGTACTCAGTGAGTATCCCGCCTAATCCCGAAGGGGTAGAGACGAGATGACCAACTCCGACACTCACTAGAGGTCAATTAACAATATTCTATAAGTGCGAGAATAATCATGGATTTATATAAAAGTTCTGATTGTGAAGCCAGAAAAATGGTAAACACCTTCAACAATAAATCAAGGGCTTCTAAAGTCTGTTCTTTATTATCTTATCAGTTTAGATCAAGCCACGTAGGGCCAATTCCACATTTACAATTTTTCAAGTAACAGATAGACATGCGCAAATCATGCCGAGGTCGACGGCCCGCTCCAACGGGAATATAAATTTGTGCACTGCCGAGGGTCGAGCGGCACGAACCATAGATGCATCTATTCTCACCGAGGCGTTCGGCCCGTTCCATAAATAAACACATATCCTGCTCGCGAATCATCCATGCGACGCAGGCACACATAAAATGCATGCTCGATCAGTCAAATAAGAAATTATCGGGGAATATTTATTCAAATAAAACCAATTCCCCTTTAACAATTTAAGAAATGAAGTTTAATCCTTTTAGAAATCTACTTACTAATTCAATGTTATTTTTAAACAATTCAGGCTATCCATGGGATTCACAATTAATCCACGTACAACATGCTTTTGGGTCCTAACTACCCGGACAATAGTATAATAGTAGCTACGCACGGACTCTCGTCACCTCGTGTGTACGTAGCCCCCACAAATAGGAGCACATAATCAATTACTTCACCTATGGGGTAAATTCCCCCTCACAAGATTAGAATGGAGACTCACCTCGCTCCGAAGACTCAAAAACGGCATTCTACATTCTTCCGAAGGCTCGAACCGACGCCCAAAGCTCCAAAACTAGCCAATGGCGATACAAATCCATTAATATATGCTAAGGTACTCATTACAATCCAATTTATAACAATTCCTAACCCCGATCAAAAAGTTGACCAAAACGCCCTCGGGCCCACGTGCCCGGAATCCAAAAAATTTCGAAGATAAGGTTTACCCATGACCTTAGGAACTCAAATATATAATTTTCTCTTAATTCCATACCCAAAAATCGTGGCTAAATTCCAAGAACACAATATTTCTAGGTCTTCCTCTAACCCTCAATTTTCTACCCATTTTCATACTAAAATCCATACATAATTAACGTATTTAACTCATAATAGGTAGAAATAACTTACCTTAACATTGCTGACGAAAATCCCTCTTTGAAGCTCCCCAACAATCGCCCCAAGCCATGAAAAATGAGAGAAATGAACTCCCAATCGCGATTTAAAACAAGCTTCTGCCTCCAGACATTTCCGCTTTTGCGGAATTATAGCTGCTTATGCGGCTACGCTTTTGCGGACAGTAGGCCGCTTCTGCGGCTTCCCTGGCTTAGCCCCCTTTTCGCTTCTGCAACCATACCACCGCAGATGCGGTTCCGCTTTTGCGGAGCCTTGACCGTATCTGCGGTCCTTCCCCAAGGCCTTGTCTTCCGCTTCTGCGATGCCCCTTAAGCAGATGCGGTTCCGCTTCTGCGGAATTTAGACCGCATCTGCGGTCCTCAAGCTTTGGACCAAAAACCGCATCTGCAGCTCCCCGTTCGCTTCTGTGGTGCCGCTTCTGCGGTCAACCAACCGCAGAAGCGAAAATACCAGCAACCAGATGCCTTCAGCTCTCTTCCAAATTCCAATTTCGATCCATTAACCAGCCGGAATCCACCCGAGGCCCCCGGGACCTCAACCAAGCCTACCAACCAATCCCAAAACACATTACGGACTTGCTCGGGGCTTCAAGTCGTATCAAACAACGCTAAAATCATGAATTACACTCCAATTCAAGCTTTATGAACTTTGAACTTTTCAACTTCTACTTCCGATGTTTAAACCTATCAAATCATGTCCGATTAACCTCAAATTTTGCAAACAAGTCATATTTGACATTACGGACCTACTCCAACTTCCGGAATTGGATTTCCGACCCCGATACCAAAAAGTCAACCTCCGGTCAAACTTCTCAAAAACCTTCAAATTTCTATCTTTAGCCAAATGGCTCCAAAATGACCTACGGATCTCCGAATTCACTTCCGATCGCGCCCCCAAATCCAGAATCACCACACGGAGCTATTCACAGTCTCGGAATCCCAAACGAACATCGATAACACCGAAATGCTCTTCAAGCTAAACTTATGAAATTTCTTCTAAAATGCTAACTTCCACAATAGGCGCCAAAACGCTCCCGGGTTATCCAAAACCCGAACTGGGCATACGCCCAAGTCCGATATCATCATACGAACCTGCTGGAAGCTTCAGATCCTGATTCCGAGGTCGTTTACTCAAAATTCCAATCCTAGTTCATTCTTTCAACTTTAAGCTTCTCAAATGAGAATTTTCATTTAAATTTAACTCCGATCTTCCTGAATTTAAATTCCGACCATGCTAACAAGTCACAATACCTGAAATGAAGCTCTCATGGTCTCAGGCTGCTGAACGACGCGCTAGGGCTCAAAACGACCGGTCGGGTCGTTACATGGTATAGGATACAACCCATCTCGCATACATCTATCTTTTCATAGCCTAGCCCAAGTTTGGAAACCATTTGTTTAGTTCTATTGTAATCATTGGGTAACTTAGCATCTTCGGGTAAGATCTCCTTCAGAAATAGCAAAATTTGGTTATAGCAATTGTCACTCATGTTAAACTCGGATTTAATGTTCAGTAGCCTGCACACCGCTGACAGCGTAGAATGATTAATACACCCATTAAACAATGGCTCTTCTGAAGCTTTTAGCATATCAAAAAAATCTTGAGCATTTCGATTAGGAGGTTGTTCTTCTTTACCATCCAAATTAAATCCATCACTTTCAAAATTGAAACTAGGACCAATTGCATCCAAGACCATAATGCGATATAGATTTACTGTTGTCCTGTCAGGACCTATTTCACTTGATTGAGGCCTGGAAATTGGTACAAAAGGCTCCCCATGTGATTCCCATTGATAATAGTTAGGCATGAAACCGTTCCTTTACAGATGTGCTTTAACATCATGAGGTTCAAGAAACCCACTAATGTTTTTACATCTTGAACATGGACACCTTATACTTCCATTAGAAACGAAGTCATGTTGCATTAATGCAAACTCTACAAATTCGTGCACGCCTTCTAGGAACTCAGTAGTTACTCCTTTCCGACTTGGCGCTAGTCTATTATACATCCAGATACGATCAACTCTAAAGGAACTCATGCTTCCTATCTAACAAACAATGACAAAACACTATTTTTAGTAATAATATATTAGTTAGTTAATACTCAAAATAAATGGGTAAAAATTTATCCACACCGAGTGTTTACACCCGACTAATAAATATTTGACAAATGGCAATGTATTTAACTATAATTATTAGTGAATAACTATAGTTAACTATCGTCTATTTTGTAATTTTAACTAACAATATAAAATAATTAACATCCAACGGCAACTAAAATGAGTCTGTTAGTCTAAAATCAAGTCCCACAGTTTCTTTTAGCAAAACTAGCAGTCCAACCCATCTGCATATAGGTAAAAAAATCAATTTCATATTTAGCACATAAACTAATTGCCGTCTTTGGCAAAATGATACAAATAGAATGTGATCACCAGTCAATCTGAAGAGAAACGGTTGGAGCGACCAGTTTGAAAGCACTAAAGCAGCCATTTTGGCCATTTTTTGTGTTGCTTACATGTATATTTCTGTAAAGCATGAAGCATTTATCTAGTACTAAGAATTAACATTCGACATAACTTAAGTACTTGAACAGAAAAGAAACATCAAGTCAATGATCAAGTATCGTCTACCGAGAATCAGAAGCCAAGTAATGATGCAAAAAATTACCTAGTCCAAAAATGAAGAGTTTTTTCTTCAAGCAAAACTTTAGAAAGGGCTTAATTCACAGGACCTGTATAGAAAAATCAGCAATAAATATCAATCAGGAACCTATGAAGAAATGTTGAAGAAGGCCACAGCAGTGAGCAGATTAGATAGACTCCTCTTATTCAAGTAATTGTAGCATATGCATCAACATAACATCTATAGGTGATAAAAGCATAAGAACAGAGCAAGTGAGAAACTTTGGGAAGCATAATCTAGTAAAGAAATGAAAATTGGAGCCACATCAAAGCAAAAGGAAGAAATCCCATTAACCAAAATCCCCATCTTCTTTCCTATCAGTTGAGTTTTTTGCCATTAGCAAACATATCCAATTTTGTTGAGAAAGCTGACAAATTTGCTTTCTGGCAACCAAATAAGAGAAAGTGCATGAAAAGCAAAATTTCTATTTCCTGAAATTTTTTAACTTATCTTCTTCTCCACTTTACTGTTCAAGAAAGAGCATGCAAAAATAAATTCTCAGATCACCAACTACAAATTTGCAGTTAAACCCAAAAAGAGAACTTTTCTATCCTAAAACCTAAATTCCAATGCAAGGCTATATATAACTGTAAACCAAAAATTCTGAATTTTGTAACATAAAGTAATACAACAAAGCATCCAAGGGTTTCCTACAAAGTTTTATTAGTCTACAAAAGTAATCAAGGATTTTCTTAAAGGGGTAAATTACACCATCAAAATTTAAAAGATAAGCTTGTTTTCCCAAATG